TAGGTATATAGACCACAAACTACAAAATTAAAAGGGATGCATTTTTAATTTTACAAAAAAAAAAAACTTATTAAAAAATATATATATTTTTTAACTTTGTCAAAGTTATTATTTCAATTTAAGATATTAATAAAAATGTATTAAGATGACAAACAGTGGCTACAGGTATAGACCACAAGGGATGCACAACATATCTGAGATCAATTTTAATTTTACCAAAAATTACTCATTAAAAATATATATATTTTATTTTTGTTAAATGTATTATTTCAAATATAAGATATTAATGAAAATATATGAAATAAATTATTAACAAACGTTATTAACCAAATATAATATTATTACCGTTTCATTTAGCTTTCTAAAATTATTTGAGAAATTATTCAATATATTGCAATTACAGTATTTTGTTCTATGGTTGAAACATTAAGAAATAAAAAAATATATATTTTATAATATGTTACCAATTTATTACAAAGTAAATACTCTTCATGTAATATTTAAAAAATTGGCTTTGGCTTACAGTGAGGACATAAAAGCTTCAGAGTTGTCGCATTTAGAAAATAACGTGCATTTACAACATACTTAAATTATACAGCTACCATTATATTTTAGGAAGTGGTAAGGGAATCATTACTTTTTGGGGTCCTTGGCATTAAACATGTTTAAAAACACAGTTTAATACATGATCTCAACAAAATGTACCCCACAGTGCACACAGTTGATTCAGAGATTCAGCATGGGCCTAAACCTGTATATTCTCCATTATATCGGTTATTATTCACTGAATGAAAACAATTATCTTCTAATCGGTATTTCCCAGACATTCTATGTAAGTGCATCTCTAAAAATAACAGTAATACTCAGAGATGCCATGTTTTAAGCAAGCTTGACAGAAACGCACTTCAGATGTCCAAGTAAGAGCTAACTCTTGAAGAAGCTTCTAGTCAGATCTGTGCCTACCGCGGAGAACACTAAGACGGGTGGAGGCGCTGATCTCTCCTGCTTCGTTAGATGCCACACATTCATACACAGCCTCATCACGGGGGGTCCGCAGTGGCTGCACTCGCAACACAGACCCTGAACCATCCTCAGACTCTATCACCTACACACCAACAGAGAGGCAAATGTGTTAGTAACTCCCTAAATAGCTTGTGTGTCTTTATAGACCATGTGTATGGCATCCTTTGAGCCAGGGCAAATGTGTGAAGTTATGGGAAGTGTACTGTGGGAATCTCACTTTAGTAGTGTTACAACCTTGTATCGCTGCTTGCAGCAAATGTGTAAGCAAGCTGTCTGTATGGTTTGTGTTTGTTCAGTTGAGGTGTGTTTACCTCAAATCTCTGGTTGGTGACTTTTTTGCCTTTTCTGCTCCATGTGATTTTAGGCTGTGGATCTCCTGTGGCTTGACATACGAAGGAGGCCACGCCCCCCTGAACCCCTATCTGATCGACGGGTGTCCGAGTGAACTGAGGAGGACCTGCAGAGAAAAACAGAGATTGGTCAACTCAGAATTGTCTTGAGGATAGGGAAACCTTTACTATTTAAAATCTCCAGAATGAACATTGACAAATGCATCTATGCATCATGAAGTTGTACTTCTCACATAGAGGCAGAAATTAAAATTAACAAGCACCAGATGCACTGAATATAATAAATTTACTCGTTATACTTTTGACAGTAGCTGGTGTGTGGTGAGTGTACTGGCGCCGTTGTCCTGTGGCTGCCGTCGCATCATCCAGGTG